TCCCAGGCGATCGCAGTGTGCAGCCGAGTTTGAAACCCACCCCCATGGAGAGATTTTGCCGTCTCTGCTCCTCCCCACCCCAGGCCCTTGCTTCTCAACTACCCCATCCCAATAATTAATGTTCCTCCATTAGAAAAAAGGTTTTTAGAGAGCCATTGCCTTGTAGGTGTTCTTTTTTCTTCTCTCTCTCTCTTTTTTTTTTTTCCCCTAAGAGGACAGGCAGACTCTTAGATCAGGACAGAACATTTAGCATTCCTGCAGGGTTATTGCTTTGGGGTGACTCTGCCAAGGTCACCATTTGCCCTGAAGGTCACCAAGAAGTCCTTGACTTATCTCTGCACGTGATTCCTGGCAGAGCAGGGGAGGCCTCAACACAATACCCTTGAGTAGAGGAAGCAGTTTGATTTAGGTCAGTGGGACTTGGCCCTTCCGGCTTCCAGAAGGACCAAAGCTTAGCCTCTGACCACTTCTCCCCACCTTCTCTCCTCCCCTCCAAAATCACTGGAAAAAAAAACTATTGAAAGTAGACATTGTTAAATTCATTAAAACTTAGTTTTATGAGACTGAATTAAAATATTGAGCTCTTCATTCAATACAAGGTACTTGGTAACACTATTCCATGCACTGTTACCATGAGCCCATCGGAAGTTCAGTTTGCATCGACTTTTCTGTCTGTAGCTTCACATCTAGCTGTTACTTTGGGGGATCTCAGCTATGACGTATGACATGGGCCTTATTGTTCCATTCTGCAAGTAGAGAAACTGAGGCAAAGGGCGATGTCATGAATCACCCTCATAGCTGGTCCAGGACTCTCCCTGTGACTCCAGAGCCACCTCTGCAGTGACACACAAAACTTTTTTTTTTTTTTTGAATCCAAGACTGCTTCTAAGTAGCCGAGGCACGCATGGACCACTCCCTAGAAGACCAACGAGCTCTAAAGATCTGATAATTGCAGATGTGGGAAGTAGGGCAATGTTTATAGACCATTCAAAGCCCTTGTAAGATAAGAACTTCTGCTTCAAAATATAATAGTGTAAAAAAAGCCCACAATATAATAATGTGTGATTTATAGGCTGGCGTTTATGGGGGCAGTGTGTCCCAAATATATGCTAAGCCTGTCTGTGTGCCGTGTTATTTTATAACCCCAAGAGGTAGTGTTTCTCATTATCCCCATTTTATAGACAGGAGACTGAGGCTCAGAGAAAGGAAGAATCTAGCCAGCACCACAAGGCCAAGCTCGTTGGGTACTGACGTGAGGCGTAGCCACCCGGCCTGACTTCAGAGCCCCCGCTTGAAATGGCCACCCTGACATCTAGAAGTTTAAGAAGGGAGCCCCATGGCCTCAAACCAAAACTCTCTTAAGTTTTGGCAACTCGAGGACAGAGAAGGAGACGCCTTGGAGTTTCTCAGTGCCCCGCAAAACACAGAGCCCTGGTTGAATCAGCGGCAGGGAACTTCTCGTGTGCCCCTGTCCTCCCCGGCTGGCTGGAAGGGCCAGCGGTCACCATCCCTCCTCCAGCTTGCCGGCGTGGTGTGAACAGAGTCATAAAACAGTTGTAGATGTGAGGGAGAGGGCGATTATTATTAGCACTGAGCTGAATCCCACCTGGGGTGCACCATCCCCGGTTCCTTGCGGGTCCACACATGTTACATCAGAATAACTTCCCCAAGCATATCGGAGAGTTAATAAATTGCGAAAGCTGCCGTGGGATGGGGGGCCCCTTGTGAATTTTAATCACAGATCGGAGTGCTAGCCAGAGGAGGAATCTGCTCCAGAGAACAGGAATGTTACAGTCCCTCTCCTTGCCCCACTGCGCTGCTTTGGCTGTTTGAGAAGGGCTGCCAGAAACTGAGTAAGCATCGCAGGGCACAACAACAACACCATCTCCCAGCACGCCAGCGGCCCGGCCACCTGCCGCAGTGAAAAGGCCAATTCAGACGGCTGCAGTGGAAAAAGGTTCTCAGGGGCGTTCGTTAGCTGGCGGCATGCTGTGGGTGCAGCTTGGCCACAGGTTTCAATATTCCCTTGTAACGTTTTACAACCCAGGCCCAGCGACAATGGCGTCATTCATGGCACTCGCTCACGTGGAACAGAATGTGAGAGCCCGGGAGAAGCTGGTCTGCGGGCTCCAAGCTCTGACACCCAGGGTGAAATGAGGTGCTCAGGACCCCTGGTGGGTGTTCTGTGAGTCCAGACTGTGCGGAGCAAGCTGGCGGGATGTGGGCACAGCTGTCGGTTGAGACAGCCGAGCCCAGGGGGATTTAATGGTAAACTAGAGGCTCTTCCAACAGTAGGATCAGCAGACTGGCTGGTAGAGCTTGACAATGCCCGGGGGTAGCCGATCCCCAGCGCTGTTATCACCAGGAAGCTTTTTATCACAGGACTGTTGTGTTGTGCGAGCAGCGGGTGTGAAGGCAGCGATTTCCTGTGATCAGGGGTGAGTTGGCACGAGCTTTGGAACCGCACTGATCTGGGCTGAAGCTCAGCTTTACCTCTTCTTAGCTGCGTGATCTGGGGCAAGTTGCTTAACGTCTCTGAAACCTAATTTGTTCACCTCTGTAGGAAATCTGCTCCTACCATAAAATGGAGGTGCGGCCAGGGCCGGGTGAGGGAGAGCACATAAGGCAGCCGATATAGTGGCTGGGACCTTAGGAGACACTTAGAGAACAATGTGGATGATGAAGATAAAGATGAGGATGCTAACGACGATGGTGGTGATGATGGTGCTGGCGATAAAACACCAGCCCTCCGTGGCTGCCCTTCTTTCCAGGCACACGCGGGCTTTTCAGCTTCCACTTTAATTCTCTTGTGCCCTGGGTTCTGCAGTGAGGCTCTCAAGCTGCAGAGGAATGTAGTTTATCTGCTCATCACAAGGACTTTAGAGATCATTGCTCTATTGCTACTAATCATGTCCTTTTGATTGGTTCTTTGAAGAGCGCGGTGAAAGTCACCCGAATGTCATTTGATGGTAGCATTTTCTTCCCGTTGCGTCTATCATCTCGTGCCGAGTGGGAAGTCACTTCACCCTTTCATACCCCTATTTCGACACCTGTCAGATGGGCTTGCAGACGTTGTATTTCAGGCACCAAAAGAGACGTGCGTGACTGACGGTGCGGATGATGTTTCAGCCTCCTTGGCGAGAAGCCAACTGTGAGGGACAAGTGGTTATTGGGGTGAAATGGCTTTCGCATTTCTTTGAGTGCTAGTAATCAAAGGCAGGATTTGCCCTTTCCAGAGAGTAATTTTGCAATTTGGCAAGGCTGGAACGGAGAATTCCTTGGAGCCCATTGATACGTTCTCTTGTAAACTCCCTCAGCCAACATTTTTGGGAGTTATTTTCTTTAATTAAAACAAAATAACCATCTTCATTAAGAATACAAAACTAAAAGAGATCCTCTTCTTTCTGTGGGAGCTCTAACAGCCCAGTACTTCCACTAAGCAGACCCAAACAGAACTGCCCGTGAGATTTGACAGCTTTTATTATTATTATAATTCTTCTTCATTTTCCATGACGTAGCTGGAGCCACAAAGTGAGAATCATAAAGCTAATATTCCTTTCAGCCTCCTGGCCCCAGGGAGAGATACTCAGTGGCATGGCTGCTCAAGACGGCTCTGGCTTTGGTTTTGAGATGGTACACACCACGGGAAAGCTCAGCTAGGAGACCCCCGGTGTCCTGAGTGTGTCTGGAGCCTCACAGAAACTTGGCAGACACTCCGTGTCCCCTGCCTGGCTACTCTAACGTGCTTTCACACGACAAACAAAGGCAGGGGCCCAGAGTGGAGGCTGTTGCACCTCTGAGGAAGTCATGAACCCCAAATCCCTGCTCCCGTAAAAGCACATGGTGTTTTAGATACTGACAGAAGTAATTAGGTGATTGTCCAGAAGTCATTAGAGGCCTGTTGGGTTAGATTTCTAGTGTGTGTCTTTCTAGCTCTGTGACCCTGGGCAAGTTGCTTAATCTCTCTGGGCCTCAGTTCCCTAATCTGTAAAATGGGGACAAGAACAGTACCTGCTTCCTACAGTTATGGAGTGGATAAAATGGGCTAATGCAGGATCCTTCAAAATGTGTTAGGTGTAGTGTTTTTTGGCATGAGACGATTTCACATGTTCTCTTTGATTTTAAGAGAGAAGGGTTTATTTTAACAGCCTTAGAGAAGCTGTCATTAGCATCACAACCCCATAATTTCACAGATATTATTGCTGAAAGTGAGGTTAAGCTCATTTGGATAAAAACTTAAAATTTAAGAAACGCAGTAAGTTAAAGAAGAGTTGGTTCTGGGTCATGGAAAAAATCCCAACTGCGTTTGGGATTTATTGATACGTAGTTCATCTGGGGCAGGGATTCGGAACCTGTTTCATACTGTGGAGCTCACTGCCACCCTGGTGACAACTGTGGAGTACGTCTCAGAATAATTTGATTGAATGCACAAAATAAAATGCATAGGTAGCAAAGGAAACCGATGATTAACAATGCCATAATGATGGTAGTTGTCATTTTTCTGAGCGCTCACTACTGTTCAGCTTTTCACATGGATTTGCCCGTTGTTTCTCGCAATACCTCTTTGAACTGGGGATTGTTATTTTCCATGGAAAACAAGGTATGGAGGAGTTTGTCAGCGGTAACAAGTAGGGCGGCTCGAAATGAAATTCTAAGGCTCAAGCACAAACTATGCAGACTAAGGTAACCTAGGATCACCCCTGACTAACCTAGTGATCAGTTACCATCCTTGACTCATTGACCTTTCCGCATTCATAAAGGACTATTCATAAACCTATTAGCCTAATGTATAAGGCATGAAAAGTGAGTGCCCAGATATGTACATCCAAGGCATATGATGCACTTGGGTATAATTGGATGACTTTCCTCATCAAAGTATCCCTTTGTTTCTTATTCTGTGACTTTTCTGGTGGATTCTTGGACCCCGTGGTTCAGCCAGTCGGGGGCAGGATCTGTATCAGGGCACCGATCGATGTTATTTCCCATCTTCTCTCTTTCAGTAAAGAATATCCCGTGGTCCCTAGGAGCACAGTGAGACAAAAAGTGGCCTCCAACCACAGCCCTTTCAGCAGTGAGCCTCGGGCTCTCTCCACCTCCTCCAACTTGGGGTCCCAGTACCAGTGTGAGAATGGTGTGTCCGGGCCCTCCCAGGACCTTCTGCCCCCACCCAACCCGTACCCGCTGCCCCAGGAACATGGCCAGATTTACCATTGCACCAAAAGGAAAGGTGAGTGTGATAGCCCCCACCCAACCTGCCGCTTTCTCCATTTCTTGTCTTTCCTTGGGGGGGGGGAAGTACACAGACCTACAGTTATTCACTGAAAAAATGTCAACAATACAAAAATGCATAGAGATTGTAAAATCCAGACCATACCAGTATCACTTGTCTTCCCCTAGTTCCAGCCCCTTTCTTGGGGAAAACTCATTTGAAGGGTCCAGACCTATTTTCTTCATTGACATACACGTGCACACACACAAATAAAAAGTTTTGTTTTGACTTTTAGGAGTAAAATACACACTGTGTATATTTTGCAACTTACATTTTTTGTTTTTAGACTTCAGAATATGCTGTAGATATCTGAACCTGGAGCTCCCTCATTTTTTTTGTTTTTGTTTTTGTTTTTAACTGATGAAGAGGAAGTGTTGCCTCAAAAAGATGGAGAGAGTGTGTATCACTCTCGCTAGCGGACAGGAAGGCTGCTTCCAGCGTTGCTGGTTGCGTCACAAGCCATGATACTGGGGACGTCCTTCTGATTGGATGTGCCTCTTTAGTTCTTGTGCCAAGGTTTCTCCCAGGTGGGTTCGGAGCTCTTCTTTCCTTTCCAGCCCAAAATCAGCACAACGAGGGAAGGAGAGAGAAGGGAAGGGAAGGGAAGATTAAAACTGATTTTCCCTTCTTTGCATCCCTTTTTTTCCCAACCTACTAAGCTGGTGTCTGAGACATTCATGGTTTTCTTTGCCAAATAACAAACGGATGACTTTTCCTCAGTCATTTGACTCCAAAGGGACTCGATGAAGGAAGGAAATTTCTGGGGGCCCGTTTTCTGAGCCAGAATTGAGGGAGTTGACATGGGCAGTGTGTCTGAGCTCAGTTACGAGAACCATTGCTCCGTGTGAGCTGCAGACAGGCACGGTGAGGACAGGGAGGGCAATGGGGCCCGGAAACGCAGGTTCGCATCTCACCTCTGCCACCAGCTTCCTGTGTGACCTCAGTCAGGTGTCCTAACCTCTCTGTGCCTCCATTTCCTGCTTTGTAAATGGTGCTAAGTTTCGTAGAGCACCTGATACTTGTAAGCACCCAGTTAGTGGTCGCTATGATTGCGTAAGTGGCACGTATTACTCCAGAAAGTGTGTCCTAAAGGAAGCAAAGAGAATGCTGCTTACCTAGGAGAAGGCTCGAGACAGTGGATACAGGGGGATGGGACCTTGTAGCCTAGTGGTTATGCCCATGGTCTTCAGAATCAGATCATTGGGATGAATCCTATCTTTGCCAGGGGCAAATTTTTATGATTAAGAGCCAGTTACTTAACTGCTTTATGCCTCATTAAAAAAAAATATATATACATAATATATATCACTCAAGGACATGCTCATTGATCTTAGAGAGAGGGGAGGTGAGGGGGAGAGAGAGACAAGGACTGAAACATCGATGTGAGAGAGAAACATCAATTTGTTGCCTCTCACATGTGTCCTGACTGGGGACTGAACACGCAACCTAGGTATGTGCCCTGACCGGGAATTGAACCTGTAACCCTTAAGTCTACGAGACAGTGTTTCAACCCACTGAGCCACGTTGACCAGGGCCTCTATGCCTCAATTTTTAAAAACCTGTGCATGTGGGCTTACGATTGGACCTGTCTCGCAGGCTTGGTGTGGAGATGCTGTGAAGTCATGGTTGTGTTTGGCATGGGGTGACCCAGTGCTGTGCTCAGGCAGGCCCAAACCTGGGTTTTTAGGTGGCCTGTTGTATCTCAAATCCTCAGTAGCCAACACACCGCCTTTGGAAGTCCAGTGCCCAGTGTTTGGCCCTTAAAAACAAACTCGGTAATAAGAAGCAATGGACATGACGCTCCAGTGGCTTTCCCTGGAGCCAGGGTTACGTGAGGAAAACTGCAGTTTGACTATTTGACGTTTACTCATCTTGCATTTTGGAGGGAAGACTGGTCTTTGGTCCAAGGCTGGGCTGGGGAGTTGACCTGGGGGAGGCTGAGGTCTCCAGACTTACCTGAAGCCCATCCAAGCTCCTCGGATCTCAAAGGCCTGAACACTATCACCCCATCGGGCCCCCTGGCCTGACTCCCAGCAAGTCCGCTGCCGGATGGGCTGCAGACCAGATGCCTGCAAACATGTCTGCCTCTTCAGGCACGAGCGGGGATTATGAATGTTTCGTGGAGCACAGGTCCCTGGCTGGAAATTCTGTTTTCTATTATATTTAAGGGTGCCCTGCCCAGGTTCCAGACCTCAACCTTTTCAGGAACACTGTTAAGTAGGTGCTGCTATGAGCCAACTTTACGAATGGGGAAACTGAGGCTCAGAGAGGCAAAATCCTGTGCTGGTGGTTCTTGAAGGTGGAATCGGAGCCCTCGCCTGGCCCGCAGGCTCTGCCTGGGCCCCGAACCACCGCCCCGTGCTGTCCTCTTTGCTTATCATCTGCAATCTCAGAGCTTCATCCTCCACAGGAGATTTGCTCTTGAGACTGGGTCAAGCGCGCTGATTAAGAGCTCACCAGGTTTGAATTAGGAGCTCTGTCTATTAAATTAATGCCAGACCAAAAGAAGAGGACGAAGAAGTTAAAAAGAATCAAGGCGCTTTTTTTAGGTTCAATATTTATAGCAGCATCCTTATAAGTACATTCCTGGAGGACGCAGTGGGGAGGCTTTGAACGGAAGGCCGGGGAACCGCTCTCGATTACGGGAGCTGTGGGCTTTCACGGGATACTTTGTGGGATCCTTGCGCGAACTCAAGGTCAACTTCAGATGGCCACTGGGGAGGCTGGAGTTGGTGGCTGGTCCATTGCATGACGTCCCCATAGCAAACCCTTTCTAGCTGTGTGGCCCTGGGCAAGTTGCTTTGACTTTCTGAGCCTTTTTCTGCAAAATGGGGATAACAGTAGGACCTACCCTATGGGATTGTTAGGGGCCGAAATGAGAGAATCCACTGAGGCGCCTAAAACAGGACCCGACAGGTACTAGTGCTCAGGGAACGTTAACCGGCCACCGTCCAGCCCTTGTGCAGCTCACATTGCCCAAGCAGATCAGACATTAAAATGATATATAATGATATGATTGTTTGGTGCAAACAGTGATCAAATGCTGTAAAGGAGATGCACAAAGTGCTAATGAGTATGAAAGGGGGTATCAGAGGGGGGGAGGGGATCGGTGGGGGGGAATTTGAGCCCAGCGTCGTTGGATAGGAGAAAGGGGAGATAACGGGCATCCAGGCGCAGAGGAAAGTGTGTGCGCGGCCCCTCAGAAGGTGGGGAGCCCCCTCCCACCTTGGACAGAAGGCCAGGGTAGCTGGAGCTCAGGGAGGGGGAGCCGGGGTCCAGCATGAAGCCGGCCCTTGTGAGCCACCCGAAGGGCTTTAGATTTTACCCCAGCACCGAGGGGCAGCCATCAGAGGGGCTTAAGCCCGTGAGTGACAGGATTCGGATTTTGTTTTGAAGCAGTCACTTGGCTGTGATAGGAGGGGACTAGAATTGACACCAGAGCTCTGGCGAGAGGCTGCTGGGGGCTCGGGGGCAGGGGCCGATGGCGGCTGAGCCCAGGGTGTGGGGAGAAGAGCCGGAGATGTGGGTGGCCTCCGAACTGGGTGACGGGCGGGAGATAACAGGGTGAAGAATCGCCCCTTTTTCACAGATGCGGAAACTGAGGCTCTGAGAGGTTGAGTGACCAGCCCAGTGTCACCCACCTAGTGAGGGGCCCCGCCCCAAATCCACACCGCGACCTATGCCCCGGGAGTGCATGGGACAGGCACACTGCGGGGCTCCTTTCACACTTCCAGAAACCTCTGCCCTTCTCACCTCCCTCCACCCCCAAAAGAAAGCTCCCAGGGACAGGGAACATTCCAGCCAAGCGCTGTCTGTCCTGCCTGCCTGAGAGACACAGAAGGCAATTCATCACCAGCCTCCATTGTAAAGTGATAAGGAATCAGCGGAGGTTTCCTTCCAGTTTGGGATTCCCGTTAAGTGATAACTCCATGGGTGGCTTTCCCCTGGCCCCTGGCTGCCCCACTCACTATCTGACTTCCCCCCATTGTCTGTCTCCTTTCCAGCGAGCCCCGGGGGCCAGCGCAATGAACTGTCAGAGGGCCAGGCAGGCCAGAGGGCTCCTTGTGTTTGGGCCCAGCTGTCTCCAAACTATCTATCCCGATGGATGGAGCCGGGAAGGTCTTTTATCAATGCCACTCAACCACAGCTGGGACCCCAGGGCCTGGGAGAGCACTTGTCTGTCTTCCTTCCCCCATCCCACCCTGACAAGGCCCCACCCCATTAGAAACTGAAGGCAACCCAAATAAAGATTGTAGGCAAGCCACTTACTGCCTTGGATATTCAAAGGGAGTCAGAGGTGGGAGGGAAAGGGGAATTGGATATAGTAAAGGGTTTTGCAGGGTGTATTTTCTCAGTGCTGTATGCCTTTTTTTTTTTTTTTAAAGATTTTATTTATTTATTTTCAGAGAGAGGAGCAGGGAGGGAGAGAGAGAGAGAAAAATATCAGTGTGTGGGAGAAGCATCAGTTGGTTGCCTCCTGTTCGCCTCCAAATGGGGACCCAGCCCACAACCCAGGCATGTTCCCTGACAGGGAATTGAGCCAGCAGCCTTCCGGTTTGCAGGCCAGTGCTCAAACCACTGAGCCACACCAGCCAGGGCTGCTGTGTGCTTTTTAAAGCAATTTTCACATGGCTTCCTTCACTGGATCCTCATTGTGGTCTTTGAGCCGGGAAGCTGCCCTTCATCCCCGTTTTGCAGAGGCAAGCAGAGGACTAAGGGATTGGGTTAGGTGGCCGGCGTTATGTGGCTGGTGAGGGCAGATCTGGGATGCGTTCATTAAATGTACATTGATTGGGTGCTTACTTCGTACTGGACACTGTGCTGGGTGCTTGGGATAAGAACAAGATGGCAGAGCTCCCCGCTCTCATGGATCTGCAGGCCACTGGGAGAGACAGGCAATAAGCAAGTAAATACATTCAATGGCTTCAGCTAATGGCTGAGATTTGAACGGGAATCTTTTGATTCCTAATCAAGGACATTCTTACAATACCACTGCCGTCCTTTCTACTTTAAGCTAAGAATTAAAATCTACCCACCTACCCATCCACCCACCCACTAGTCCATCAGTCCATCCATACACCCACCCACCCACCCGTCCATACATTCACCCAGCCCAAGGTTACGACTTTTCATATTCTTTGAACATGAGCTTCATGAAAGCTCAGAGGCTGAGTCTATGTCATAGAAAGATCACTGTTAGGTGAGTCAGAGGCCTGGGTTATAGTTCTACTTCTGTGTTACTGAAGATCACTCAACAACAGTGGTTGCTCACCACTCTACCTCTCGGGTCTCGGCCCAAATGAACTCAGTTGCCAAGGGAGATGACCCATTTGGGACTGGTGACGATATTTGTTCAGTGGGATTAGTGATTTGAAAATGATTTGAAAGCAGCTGTGTGTTTCCCAACTCTGGAATCCACCCAAATACCTTCACGCATTGGACGGCTTTCACAAAGCCATCGGTCCACCCTCCCAAGGGGAAAAAGAGGTAAAAGAGAGTAGACTCCAGTTATTTAGACAGCTAAGATGTAAACACTCATCTTATGTGCAAGGAAGATGGACAGAAACTAGACTGCATTTCTTATTACCTCAATTCCTACACGAAATTTCTGTGTTTTCGTCATGTACAATCAAGAGCTGAGATTGGAATGGTCCCAGTGGTTCATCCGAGGTCACAGAGCCAGTGAGAGCCAGACACATAACTCTGTGCCCTAAAATCTCTGTTCTGGATTCATCATTACAGCCACTTTTTCCCAGAATCAATAGCATCCAGAAAAATGCAAGGGACCAGGGTTTTTCCCAGTGTTCTGCAGTGATCGGCGGTCAGGATCGGGAAGAGCTTCATTGCTCTTCCGAGACAGGCGGTTGGGCCCAGGACCGCCCTTTTCACACAACTTTCTGAAACCGAGCTGTGGACTCATCTCACCCAGTAGGACCTGACCCGTGACTGGAGCCCCTTCCCGAACCTTCGAAGGTAAACCTGAGTTGGCTGGGAGAGAGGTCGTTGCTGTTGATCAGTTATCGGGCTCCCCCCGAAAAAAGACAGAAACCAAATCATCACCAGAATAAACGCAGAGATTACATCCAAAGCATTTATCACAACCTGAAATTTGGATGCTTGCTTTGGAATTTCTTTACAATGTGGTGAGGTTCGAGAGGAATTTGAGAATGCTCCGGACCTGCTTTCATCGATGAGCCAGCATCGAACTTTTCTTAGGACTCTGCATCAGATCTTTGGGGTATTAAAGACTGGAATGTGTAATTTTATGATTTTCCAAAATGAGCTCCAGCCTTTTTCATATTATTCTTCCTTTTTTACTTGTAACAAATCTGGAAGGGGATCAGAAACTCGGGAATGGTTAGTTTGCCTTGTTGGGGTTTTTTTTCTTTTTTTTTTTTTCCCTTGCCAAGGGTACCCTGCAGCAGCTGTACTTTCTATTATTGCAAAAGGGAACGCCCTGGTTAAACGGAAAACCCGAAGGTTCTGATTCCAGCAACAATGGAAACATTTCGATTTATGGATCTGGGGGTGGAAGCGAGAATGGAGGGAAGAAATCGGGGAGGAAGTGACCAAGACCAAAAAAAAAAAAAAAAAAAGAGTTGAGTGTAGCCATGTCTTCAAGACGCCAAAAAACCGCCCAGTTGAAGGTGAAAAATATGGACGTGTTCAAACATCTGGCGTGACGCAGACAGAACACCTGGAAGAGTGGCTGCCCTTTTCGCTTTTTTTTTGGACAAATCTCTGGGTGTACTATGGGTCCCAGATGTGTCCCAGAAAGAGTCTAGCTGAAAATAAGTTTGCTGGCTCTTCAGTGGGTACCGCCCCAGCATAGCTGTGTTTTGTTTAGGAGATTTTTGACTTACCTGTGGGGGTCACTGGGAAAGCAGCGCATGTGGAGGTGTGGGGCAGGGCCCACGCCCAGGCTGCCCTTCCCCGGCCGGGAGCTGTTGTGTAGTGAAGTCCAAAGCCCAAGGATTTACGGTGGGGTGACTGACTGGCTCAGAGCTTTAGATCTGAGGACCCCCTCCTGATCACAGAGGGTCAGCACCCCACCCTCACTGTTCAGGGGAGAGTGGAGAGGGGCTGCAGATGTGTACCACGAGCAGGACCGTGGCTACCTGATGGCCTCTACCTCCAGCACCTGGCACAGGGCCTGCGCACTTGGTAGGGTCCCAGGAATACCTGTTGAATGACTGGGCAAGTGGTGTTGGGTAGTAGAAATTGAGAGACCTAGCAGCCAGCTGTGGTAGGCAGAGTGGGTCACACCTGGCTGTGGCTCCAGCCTCTGTCCTTCTCAGTGGCAGGACCGTGGGTGGGTCACTTCCCGGAAGCTCGTTTCTGCCTGGGGCACAGGAGTGAGAGCAGCCGCCTGAAGGAATGGCTAGGAGGTGGGAGGAAGGTCACTTAGTGGCGCTCCATCAGCAACAGCTCCTGTTTCCTGCCATCACGGAGTCCTGCATCCTGCCCTCACGCCATCCACCATCACAGTGCGTGGCACGGGTGTCCCGGTGTTTCCTTTTTCTTCACACCCCAAAGACCGACATATTTCTTAACGTTTATTGATGAGAAAGCGATTGGAAGGTGAAAGAAAAATATCCAGTTTAGGGGCAGAATCCCAGCTCAGGAATGAATCTGGGTGGCGGTTTACGTGTCAGTAGAAATTCTCAAGTATTGCTCCTCAAAAGGAAGCAGCTGGAGGTGTGTTGTTGTAGACAGGCCCTGCCGTGAGGCTGATCGGCAGTGTTGCCTTCGCTCAAGAGCTGCCCTTGAAGAAGCCACATCGGGAGATTTCCACACCTGACCCTACTGAATGCTTAGCTGCCCAGTGGAGTAAGTGTTACTAACTCTGATTCGGAGATGAGGAGGATCAGTCTCTGTGAGGGCAGATGCTGACGTCCCCCAGACACGAAGTGGAAAAGCCAGGTTCAAACCCAGACCGGTCTAGGCTCCTTACCCTGGAGTCTGGATCTGAGGTCATCCTAGAGCCCCCGGAAGTTGTGTGCACACTCCATTCCCCCAACTTGTGTTTCAGTGTATTTTTCTAGGAGAGAGCCCAGCACTTTCGTTAGCTCCCAGAGCACTTTGCCAGCGAGCGCGAAGGGGTCAGAGCCATCTCCACTGCCCCACGCTAGGGATCGCCTGCGCCCCGACAGCGGAAGGGGCTGGCTCAGCCGCACAACGGAGACACAGCCATTTTTGCTGACCCAGCAGATGTGCACTAGGCACTTGCTCACACGAGGCCTCAGGAAAGGATTTGGAAGTGCATATCCATCTGTCCCTTTGTCCACCCGTCCTTCCATCCATTGCACAAATATTTATTGCATGCCTTCTCCATATGGCATGGTATTGGAGAGCAGGGACTTAGAAGTTAGATCACTTGGATTCTGATCCTAACTCCACTGTCTGTCAGCCGTATAAGACCTTGGCAAGTGTATTAACCTCTCTGTGTGTCCTTCCCTCCTCTGTAAAATGGGGACAATACTAGGACCCGTCTCACAGGGTTGTTGTGAAGATTAAACACGTTACCCCTTGGAGCATACTTAGAACACTATGTGTTGTTTTTACTGTTATTGTTGATTTTATTATTGTTTTTGTTACTAGGTATGAATCATGTTCTGGGAATGTCCTGCCTTCGTGGAATTTACAGGCTGGGGAGGAGGGATGATAATAATAATGATAATAACTTATTTATTTCTTGTGTGTTTTTTTGTACCAAGCTCTGGACTAATACACATTCTTCCATTTCATTCTTAACAGTTTCCTGTGTAGAAAAATGCTATTATGTCTGTTTCCATTTTGCAGATGAAGAAACTGAGCTCAGAAAGGTCAGGGTGTTTGCTTAGAACACCACGGCCAAGGCCCTCCCCACGACAGGCCCCCCTCTTTGCAGCAGAATGGAGCCCGGGGCGTACAGTCCCAAGACACATGATTCTTCGGGCCATGGGCCAGCGGCTGCCCCGGCTTTTAGTTGTCGGGTGCCGGTCCTGGCCTCATGGCCCTCTCCCCTCCTGTCTCAGCAGATGAAGAATGCTCCACTGCAGACCATCCCTACAAGAAGCCCTACATGGAGACATCGCCCAGCGAAGAGGACCCGTTCTACCGCCCCAGCTACCCCCAGCAGCAGGGCCTGAGTGCTTCCTACAGGACAGAGTCAGCCCAGCGGCAGGCCTGCATGTACGCCAGCTCCGCGCCGCCCAGCGAGCCGGTGCCCAGCCTGGAGGACATCAGCTGCAACACGTGGCCCAGCATGCCCTCCTACAGCAGCTGCACGGTCACCACCGTGCAGCCCATGGACAGGCTACCCTACCAACACTTCTCCGCTCACTTCACCTCGGGGCCCCTGGTCCCCCGGCTGGCTGGCATCGCCAACCACGGCTCCCCACAGCTCGGAGAGGGGATGTTCCAGCACCAGACCTCCGTGGCCCACCAGCCTGTGGTCAGGCAGTGTGGGCCTCAGACTGGCCTGCAGTCCCCTGGCAGCCTCCAACCGTCTGAGTTCCTCTACTCCCATGGCGTGCCGAGGACCCTGTCCCCACACCAGTACCACTCTGTGCACGGGGTTGGCATGGTGCCGGAGTGGAGTGAGAATAGCTAAAGCGAGGCCCGCTCCCTAAGAGACATTTGCTAGCGAGAGAGAGGAGACAGAGAGCGCGCGCTCGCGAGGGAGAGGGAGAGAGACAGTCACAGAGAGAACCCCACGGACAAGATCCTCCATTTCACCCCATGCTCACGTCTGCACTCGAGACCCCCCCCAGACGCTGATCTAATCAGTAGCCCGAAACCACAATTCAAAAAATGTGACTTTGTTGTTTCGTCTCAAAATTTAAAAAGAAAAAAAAAAAGCCAACAAAAAAAGGTAAGTCCCATCCCCGCCACGGCCACCACACTCATCGACGGGACACATTCACGCCACCTCGAGGGGTCCTCCCCGATTCCTTCTTTTGGTCTCCAGAAAGCCTTGCCTCATCGAGTGTTTTATCCTGACGCGGAGTTGCAGTCTTTTCCTGTCTTGGTGTTAATGTTGACATTGTTATATAATAAATAATAATATATTTTTTTCTTTCAATTTTCTTAACGGGACCCAGTCCCTTATTTTGGGGGAGGTCTGAGGCAAGTATGTTTCAAAGTATGTACTTGTGGGATTCCCTTCCTATAAACCACCCCTGAAACCTAAATTCGTCACCTACCCCTTGACTAAGAAATGACCTACCTCTGCCATGTGCTGTTTCTGAAAAGGTCCCCACGTGCCCAGCCTTCCTCTGACCGTGTCCTACCTTCCCCATCATCACGGAGCCCAGTGTGATTTCTTGGGGAGTCAGGGTCACCTTGGACTCCATGTGGCGCCATATCTTACTCAGCACTCCCATCTTCCCAGCCCTGGGTCTTTCCAGCCATATGTCGCTAACACGTGGCCTATAGCTTCCCGGGCCGGAAAGCTTGCTTTGAAAAACTCAAAAAGCCCTGGTTTACATGCGGGCAGAACTGTGATAAGCAAGGGGCAAGCCCCATGCTGTCAAGAGTGGCGAGAAAGCCAAAATAAATATTCGTCCTGATAAAAAACAAAGCCAGCCCCAGCCTCCAAACCTTTTGACGACCCAACTGGATGCAAAAGCAAAACCCACAATTACTAACGAAGAGGCAAGACGTGCTCACCGATCAGTTCTCTCCAAGGAAATCACACCAAATGCCGACACCAAACTGTGGTTATGGAAAGCAGAAAACAGTATTAAAAAAAAGTGTGTAAGTAAAACGTTATTGCAGGGTTCTTCAGATGTAATATTTTACTGGTACTATTTATTTATAAATAGGAGTTCTAATTAAGTAATAACATGAAATCCAGCATGGGAGCTGGCCAAGAGCTTTTTAATTTTATTGATACTCAAAACCAAGTTTGCGTTCTTTTTTTTCTCCTTTCGAATGTGCTTTGCTTTCTTGATTAAAAAAAAAAAAATCTTTTTTAACTGACCCTAATAAAAAGAACAGGGTAATATGAGAGGCCAAGTATGTCCAAGGACGTGAGAGTGTGTGAGTATGTTTGTATGTGAGTGTCTTCAAGCAATTTTGTCTTTTTATGTTGCTAAGGGGGGAGGGTGAGAATTAAGTACTCATTTCGTATATTTGTGTGCCAATTAATGCCTAATAAATACTATGTGCTTAAAAAAGTACAAGGGACTTGAACACCCATTTTTTTTTACTGTTCTTTCTACTGACTGCATAGACGGGAACTTAAGTAGAGGCAGCAAGAAGGAGTTATTGTCTTACAGGTGAATTTTTCACTCCATCTGCCGTTTCTTGCTCGTTTCAAGGTACTTAGAGTTCCTTGAACTTGAGTGTGGTGGAGCTGAATATGTGTATCCACTGGAATGGAGTTTACTGTTTTCATGGAATTTGTGTCAGCATTGGAAAAGAAAACCATCAGAAATTCCAGCTGATCAAAAAATGATATTGGTCATGCTATAGGCAAAACCCAATACTTGGTTTTCTGAGGGCTCTCTTTGAATTAATTGTGAGTTGAGTATTTTGGAGGTCCCAATACACACACCGTTATGGACCATCAGTGGTTATTTACTTAAAACCCACAAATTTAGGATTTATGAGTTGGTCCTATATAACATATATGGGGCACTCCAGAGCAGCAAGTTAGTGAGTAAAGAAGTCCTGCAAAATGTTTTTAATCTCCGTTACCAAGAATGTCACATCGCTTTGAAACAGGAATAACTGGTGTGTTGATTACAAATTCTTCATTTAATCAGATTTCTCTTGGGCTTTTCCTAGTCGAAGAATTCCTGAGAGGTGCGAATTAATTATAAAGAAATGACAATTCAGCCTTTTTCAAGTACGTTGGAGAAACTAGGTCAATGGCATTTCTGTCCCCACAGAGGATGAATTAGTACAGTTTCACTGACTAAGTTCTGACTGTCCTTTAAAGAGGTACTGATTCTGATAGGGTCACAAAAAAGAGGTGACTTTTGAAAAAAATTGCCTTCTAAATGAATTTACTGATGATACAAGGCTGTCAGTTTTATGCTTTGATAAGAACATTACAAGAATACCAAAGTAACGCTCCTACCTCCAGCACTCAGACAGTTGCCACCCTTGGAAAATCATTAAAAAAAAAAATTGTTCACAGCAAGTTTCGTAAGTCAGAGAAGGAACACTCTCATTCTATAACCTATGCAGGTTAACCTGTTTGGGCTCCGAACAATGATGATAAAGGTATAAGGATGTGATAGCCAGATGTTTCTGTAGCTTTATCATTGTTTCAATGTCAAGAAGCAGGACACAAATTACTATATTTCTGTAATATATTTAGTGGACGCTTGCTCTGGACTAGACATGTCATAAGTGCTGGGGACACAGTGGTGACCAAGGTGGGAGAGGTCGTGTCCTCCTGGACCTTATGGTTTAGTGAGAGAAAACAGCTCTTAGGTAATTGCATAACCAATGGGTTGCAAACGCAGGAAGAGCTGCGAAGGCAGAGTGAGTGCAGGATGCTGTAATAGGGTAGGATGAGGTTAGGACCTGCTCTGCAGGAGGTGACTTTTGACCTGAGCTCTGAATGATGAGTAAGGAATTAGCCAAGTGAAACGTTGCAAGGAAGAGCATTTCAGGTGGAGGGAACAGCTTGTGCAAAGGTCCTGAGGCAGAAATGGTGATGGAGAAATGGGATTTCGGTTCAGGAACATGTCGCTCACCTAGTCCGCATCATTTGTTTATTCAGTCAGCGTTTGTTAAGGCCCCACCTTGCATGGTAGACACCTCTACTCACTGAAGACCTATCAATGGTGTTGGTTCCCCCGGCTGCAGAAGACAGACTGGATGTGTGAATGGGTCGGCTGCTTTGTATTTGGAAGAAGAGTGTTACAGTATCTTCCTGGCTCCTGGCCCAGCACTGAGCACTTGCATGCAGGACTCACAGTTATGGGGCAGGAGGATCACCAGCACTTTGAGTTTCAGATCATCAATATTTCTGAGCTCAGAGACGTTGGGAGCACTCCCAACACTGCACAGCTGATGTGAGACAGAGCTCAGCATGCAACCCAAGCCTCTCCAGGGCCTGGCTTCCTCATTCACTAGATGCAACATTCCACTAGCTTCAAAGGACTGTTGAGAAGGTTAAGTGACACAGTGTCTGTGGAAATGTCCATTTAAGTAACTAACGCAGTAGATGCTCAATAAATGCTTGCAAAGAAAGACATCCATCAATGAGAGGCAAGTTAAATATGGCTTTCATTCATTGTCTTACCTACTGTTAATGAGAAAATAGGACGTCTCATAGATGGCGGGGTGGAAGGAAAATAGGGAGGAGGGTTTGGCAAAATTTATTAAAAACCCTTAAAAATTGTGCCAATCATTTAACCCGATAATTCCGCTTTGGAGAATTGGTCCTAAGGAAATAATCAGGAATGCCTGTAAGTATTTCTTTTCTGTGAAGTTCATTATGAAGTTTCTTAACTGTAAAAACTGGAGACAGCCTTATAATCCCATAACATGGGATTGGTTAAATAGATCAGTATACACGCATGCAATGGCATAGCACAAGGTCATCGAAAAACACATGACAATGCCTTAGTTAACATACATTGTGAGTAAAGGAGCCTGTTACAAGTAGCTTCTCAGTTTTATTAAATGCACCTGCATCCTTCTGGGAAAAAACCAGTTAGGATGTACAGTAAATAACAGTGGTGGGACTGTGAGCTTTTTTTGTTTTTATTTTTTAAAAGATTTTACTTATTTTTAGAGAGAAGGGAAGAGAGGGAGAAAGACAGGGAGAGAAACACAGATTGGTTGCCTCTCGCAAACCTGCACCTGGGGACCTGGCCTGTTACCCGAGCACAGGCCCTGACCAGGAATCAAACTGGCGACCTTTCGGTTTGCGGGACAACACTCAACCCACTGAGCCACGGCAGTCAGGGCCGCTGCTGTGATTTTTTAAATTTTCTTTGTTTTATTAGGTACTCTTCATTTTTGGTGTGTTTTGATGAAGATGAATTCTCTTTGTGGTTAGGAATAGAATGAATGACTAAGATAAAATCTAGTTCGGTTTTTGGTCATCGGTCAAATGGGGTTTCTGAGGAAGGTGGGACGCCCTGTTTTACCGTGAGGGTGAAGGGACGGCAGCCCATCAGGGAGCGGCAGCAGCCTGGTCGGGGCGGAGCTGGGCACCAGGATGAGTGGGCCGAGTGCCAATGGCCGGATGCTCCACCTCAAAGCCAGGCGATGCCTGATGCTGCTCTCTGTCCCCACTTCCTGGGACCGCTGCTTGCGGGGCTGGGCTGCGCCCTGGGGGAAACCGTCATTCTCTTGTTAACAAATGCAACACACACACACACACACACACACACACACACACACACACACACACACAGCCAGGCAGTTGTAAGAATCTCACCTTTGTTCTCTACCTGACCTGGTTTATACAATTCAGAGTGCCACTTAGTGCGTCTGTGACCTTGGGCAAGCCACTTAACCTCTCTAACCCTCCATTTAATCATCTATGAAATGAGGGTAATAAGAGTTCTTACCCCAGGGAGTCGCTCAAGTGAGGATTCCAGGAGACGATCAGTGTAAAACCACTAAGCACGTTGTCGGGTACGGGAGAAAGGCTTGACAGCTGTTAGCTAAGAAAAAGATGAACTCGTATTTATCATTGTTACTACTCCCCATTGTATGCTTTGTCCCCTTCCTCCTCTCGGGTCTCACCTGCTTGCCGAAATAAAACGCTG